ATTAAATATTAAATAATACCAACGATAGCATTTCTGAAAACCGCAAATGCATATGTACATAACACTGTCGGAGTCTAAATGATATTAAGCTCATGTTACGTATGAGTCTGTTATAATCAAGGATTTTTGTGCAGTAAAACCCCCTGAAATATGCAGTAAAAAAACATGAAAAATGCAGTAACTTGTCTCTAAATATACTAAACTTATTATTAAATTACAATAATTTATTTTTTTTTTTAATATTTAAACTAAAGAATGAAAATAACTGAACATATATGGCTAATAAGGTTATATATACATATATACATTATAATGGTAACAAAAACATGACATGAATCACATTAAAAAATTTTAAATACCGAAATAGTACAAGGTATAAACAAACGAAAAAAAACAATAATTGTATTAACATTCCGGGGAAGCAAAATATCTAATTTCAAGCTTTGGTAAATTTTCATCCATAGATCACTCTATTTACAGCAACTCACTGATAGATATTATAGATTAGGCAGTTCTACAAGAACCATATAGCAGTGTTTTTCCTCCAAGATTTTTACAAACTAATTTTTTACTATATTGCTTGGGCATTCTTTTACACAAAATCCCTCAAATAGTATGACTATAGGTGATGGCTGTAAATCTATAACTAAAGCTATGCTAACAGCAGCGGAGATCTCAATTCCAAAAACCAAGGGATATTTTAGTCAGAAATATTTTTGAAGGCTTTATACAGCTCAGCAATTGGACCTCCCCACCACTGAGCCATTTCAAGACTACAACACTCCATTTACTATTTGGGAACTGACTAATTAATACTACAGGACGTCAAATGCAGACAACATACATTATGCCTTCCAGAAACCACATTGAGCTGATATTGGACTTTTACAACCACCTATAGATCAGTGGTAACTGGAATCAATCTATAGTGATACCAATATTAAAATCAGATCAAGATAAGAGCCATCAATCCAGCTATCGACCAATTTTTCTGACCAGCTGCCTATGTAAAGTAATAGAGCCAATGGTGAATAAGAGGCTCACATGGATCCTAGAAAAATAACACTGATTCAAAACTTCTAATGTGGATTTTGCAAAGGGAGACCAACAACAGACCACCTAGCCCAAATGGAGGCTAAATTACAGTATGCCTTTGTTCAAGAAGAGGAAGCAGTTGCTTTGATATGCACAAAGCCTGTGATATAACAAATAAATATTTAATAATAAGAAAGCCCCATTCACTAGGATTTAGAAGTAGTCTTCCCAAATTCATCCAAGAATTTCTTTCTCATTGCTCTTTTTGCGTCAGAATTGGAACATCGTTGTCTATGCAATGTGAACAGATGAGGGGTGTACCACAAGGATGTGTCCTAAGCAAAACTCTACTCACCTTGGCCATCAGCAACCTTGGATTAAATCTACCACGTGGAATTAAAGTTAGGCTACTTGTCGACAATTTTGCAATACAATACAGAGGAAAAGATATCTCCTCTATTAAAAAGAAACTGCAAGATGCACTATGTCAAATTGACAGTTGCTCTAAATTATAAGGATTGCAATTTTCCAAAATGTGTACACTTAAGCAGAAAACGAAAAACACTACAATCGTCAGACCTTTATCTAGTAGATGTTTAACTACCAAACCCCGATAATTGTAGATTCTTGGGATTGTTATTAGATAGGCGCCTGTCATGGGAACATGTCTGTTTGTTTGCGAACAGTCTAGCTCAAACCAAAAGTTGTACGAAACTGATATTACGTATTTAAGATAGGTATATGCCTTAAATGTGGCTGCACCTTTTTCCTTAAAATCAGCTAACCGGAAGTGGCACTTCATATCAATGGTGAAAAACATTTTTATAATTTTCTCAAAAATGGCTCTAATGATTTTGATTAAACTCGGTGTATCACTATATAATTAAGTGTTCTTTAATATCATTTATGTATTATCCCCATTGATGTCACTTTACAGGGCTCAAATGCCCAATGTCATATGTGTCTCTTTGAAGTGCCTTTAATATGGTTTATTTTAAATAATTAACTATCTCTCATTATTAAGAGTTATAAAAAAATGCTAAATCTTACTTTTGAAAGAATTAGATAATTGAATAAAGGAGAAAAAAATAAAAATGCTTTTCCAGATAGAAAATGAATCTTTGGAATTACTAGTCCGATGGTATACATATAGTATATCGTTGGAAAGTTGAGAATTTTAGAAAAAACAATACCTAATATAGAAAGTTCTAGAAGGTAATGGAGAGTGACAAAAAAAGTATAAATAATAATTTCAGAAAACTAACATTATTTAATGGAAATCACATGTTTCCAAGGAAATTAAATGAAATTTTCTTACTATATACTATATGTTGTAAACTTTTAAATGTTTTTCTAAGTTTGAAAAAGAAGTATTTAAAATCTACTGAATCAAGCCAATGCCATTGTTTAAAATACCATTTCATTGTATTTGTGTAAAAGAAGAAGTGAAATATAAAAATATTTAATAGATATGTTTATAACCTCAAATATATTTACTATAGAGTATTAAATCTATATAAGTTATTATATTTAAATAATTAGGTATCTATTGGCCGTTTATTCCAAAAAATCATCAAGTAACATTTCATAAAATTAAATTAGCGAATAATTTGATGAATTTTCCCTTTGTGAAATTCCATCATCCAATTACAATTAGTGTGACAACTTTTGACCTATCCATGGCAGGAATGAAAATCTCGTAATTTCGTTTTAGTAAACTTTACAATGGAAAATAACGGTTTAATAACTAATAGTTCTACAATCCATAATCATTTATAGATTTATAAAAATTATATTCAGATATACTTTCAAATCTCTCTAGGGCATATATGAGCTTTTCGGTTGACAGAATGACCATCCCCAATTTCAACATTCTTTATTATTAATTTTAGTGATGTTTCTAGTGGCAAAATTTATATCTTTATTCACAGTTCTATATTTCAACACTGCAATCACTTACTCTGGAATCAACTTACTGCCTGTATAGATAAGTTTTTCAACAAGAAATATCACTAAAATGACAATACTTAAAAATGTTGAAATTGGGATTAGTCATTCTGTCAACTGAAAGACTTAGAGACTGAAGTTGTGTGGTTTATAAAAGCAGTGTGAGTAACTAGAGTTTTATTGCCTACCGTCGATATAATAAATAGACTTTTTGTAATTTTAATGGTCTTAATGATTTGTTATCTGTAAGCTTGATGCTTTAGCTCCGTTTAAAATGCACTTCAAAAATTTTACAATAGCCCAGAATTGCCAGAAAATAATTTCTATTCAAAGTAGAGCGGTAAGTGAAAGTTATGTGTTGCGCGCGCCAAGTTTTTCACAGTAATCCCGAAAAATATAATAAATTTTATAATTATATTTATAATCTAATAACTTTATTTATTATTTATTTATGCCTCCCTTCCTTGCCTTTCGGCTACATAGGATTTTGCAGGGATGGCATATCACACACGTGCATGCCATTCCTGCTATTAAACCACAAATTAATTTTCAATTTTCACCGGTTCTGTTCTAGGAAATCTTTAAGTCGTTTACCATTGTTTGTTGGGTTGTTATGTTTATTTTCCGAATCTACTCTTCCACCAGCATTTGGATTCAGACATTCATAACCTACGCTTATTTACATTACTACTTTGTTTATTTTTTCCTACTGTTAGTTGCACAACAAAGAACCTTTGCACATACATAAGTAATAGTAGCAGATGGAAAACAATAAAATAGATAAACCACCGTTTTTTTGCTAATCATTGAATAAGAAAGACAGAGTACTTTTTTAGATGTAAAGTTTTATTTTTCAAGTCATTCAGTATTTATAAACAAAAAAAAAAATCATTAAATTGTTAAAACATCCTTGATTGAAGTTATAAATTATAGTACAAAAACATTACAATCCCTGAAATAAAGTATTCAATAGCTTCCGTAAGTATTAGATAAGCTCACCAATCAGATCAGAAAAGAAATATAAATATTTTTTTAGTTACTGAGGTACTTTTTGTTTATCCAATTAGTCAATTATAAATATTTCGATAATTTAACAAAATAAAGATTTATTCTAGAGATTTCTCAGTTTACACTAAGGCACTTTAAAATTGATAAGTCCACTACCCATAATAGAACACTTCATTTGATTTTGTAAGTAGGATATGATAAAAAGAAAAATTATAGCACATCACCTTATCTAGTGCAAATTTAAAAATCAAACAAATACTAACAAATTTAAATGCACCAAAGAAATCAGTGAACAAATTTATTTATTTGGGATCTCTAGTTACAAGTGACAATGCACTCGCAGAATATAGGCAGATGTTACTTTGGACTGGTCCCGCAGCTTAAAAGCAGGATAATCTCCTAAACAACATAGCTGCGACTGTACAAAACCCTAATTAGGCCTGTTCTAACCTTTGGTGCTGAGGTATGGACGCTGACCAGGGCATTAGAGGAAGACTTGCGTCGCTTCAAAAGGAAGGTGCTCAGGAGGATTTTGGGACCAATCTATGATCCAGAGGGGCCCATCTGGAGAAGGCGAGTAAACCAAGAAATAATGACCATGTACAAGGATAGGGACATCATCCATTTTATAAAGATGGGACGGTTCTGGTGGGCTGGTCATATGGCTAGGATGAGACCAGAGGAGCCAACTCGAAAAATGCTGGATGAGAAGATCGAAGCCAAAAGAAGAGTTGGAAGTCCAAGGCTGCGCTGGCAGGATGGTGTGACATCGGATGGAGCGGGTGCTCCATTCAGGAAACAAGAAACTGGAGAGCAGCGGCACAAAGTAGATAAGACTGACAGAAATCATTACAGGAGGCCCTGACTCCTCATGGGTTGCAGCGCCATTAAATAATAATAATAAAGAAATCAGAGAATTAAAAATGAGGACAGAACAAAACAAGTTCATAAAAATGTTGAGATTTTCAGTTGAGATCTAAATTAAATTAAACTACTGTGGAATAATATTTCAAAAAAAAAAAAAAAATACCATGAACACTTTAGAAGATATAATCACAAACAATGATGCATACTATAGTATAATTAGAGACCGCATTACCATGTTATTGCACATTTTATTCGCTTGCTTGTAAAAACTCCGGACCCGAATATCTATCCGTTTCATGGGCTGTAGAATAACATATTTAAATTTTATACTGCACGAAATTGCACGTTTTGTCGTTTTTGGCTTCAATAGCACGATTTTGATTTTTGCTGGATTAAATTGCACATTTTGTGCAAGATTAAATGATTTTTAAATATTAATATGTATGTGTGTGTAAATTTTTACTTTTTTATTTTACTATCTTGTCCATTTTAAATTAATAATTTAAAAAAGAAAAGCATGAGGAAAATAAATGTTTCAGTGACTGGCAAAGATTCGAGTTCAACATTACAAAAAGTGAACATGAGTGCGGACAGACAATTCTTGGAATAGAACTTGTCTGAAGTAATTCAATAACAAAACTGTCGTCCTTGTGTTGACATTAATTTTCACTCTTTCTTTAGTCCTACATTATCTCTTCCAACTTTGAAGTGAATCGTAGGTATTTCCACTAGTAAAAAAGATTGAATAATGCCGAAAGTAGGATCTGGTATCTGGTATAAAATTAAAATCTGGACATCAAATTACCCCGAGTTGAAATTTGATGGGGAAGTTGTTTTCTGTACTGTGTAATTTTTTACTAGTGACCTTTCTAAGTTTGAAATGTATAACATAAATTTCAACTCAATTAAAAAATAAAGTTTTCATTATAATGTGGACAATTTATAATTACGTATGTATATATATTAATATTCGGTGGAGGGAGGTGTGTAATATACGATTGGTGGTGTCGGCATCGAACCTTCGGGTTCGCTAAGCCTTTTTATTATTATTATTATTATATATATTAATATTATTTGAAATTAAATATCTAAAATCAATTGATCTGGTCTATAGTATATACTTATCCTTCATATCTTTAATCTTTTTAAGTTCCTCTACATTACTTCATTCCTTGTATATGTCAGTCAATTAATTTATTTAAGCGGAATTTAAACAAATATATTCAACTAGTAGGCCCATGCGAAAAATTCAACATATTGTTACCAAATGCTAAATTAATAAGAAAATAAAATAATGCAACGTATCAAAAGATAAAGAAATCAAATGTTACTTTATCAATAAATATAATCGACAAAGGAAACAAAAATTAATTTAAATCTTCATTTTTGTTTGGCACCAACATCTTTACAAATTTCAGTAAGCTGTATCTTTGCTAAAAATTGTCCGATTTCGATGATTTTTTTTTTCATTTTGTAGGAAATTAAGTAATCTTTTACATAATCATGGGCATAACCAAGGGAAAAGTGTGTAATTTTTTAGTTATTCGCAAATAAAGTTTGTTTTCTTTCATAACTTATTTGCCTGAATTTTCGGGGTGATTGGAATATTTTTCCCGCCTAAAGGAGAAATTGGAGGCTCAATCTTGAGATTTGGTGAAGAATTAACGATGATATGGCTTGCCGATCGACTTTATTTATTTTAGAAAGAAAAACAATAGTGGAGAATACGATTCGCTAACCTCCCATGAAATTCTGAATTTTATTGAGTATATTATTGAGTATATATTATTGAGCATGAAATGAGTTTATACTTGGTACAAAACTGATTTCAAACCTTACTGTAATAATATATGTGGGGATGGGGATTTAATTATTGGGACCTATTGTTTTTGCTTATTTGTTTTTTTAATCATCTTTTAATTTTCTATTGTTTATGTCAGTCCTTATAATTTTTTTTAATTCCTCCTCCTTTTAGATATATGTTAATAGTTATTTGTTGTATTATATTATGTATTGTTGTCGTGAGTTAACTGTAAAATTGATTTTAATTTTTTTTTTTTTTTTTTTTGATGAAACAAAATTTATTCAATTCAGAAGCTTAACATATGGTTTGATAGGGTTTTGATGTATTGATATTATAAACTAAACAAAATAGTTGATTTTTGTACGTTTTTTGGTGTAAATTTAGAGATTTTTGGGTTTTACTGCAAGATTTTGCACATTTTGAGTTTTTTGCTGCACGTTTTTCTGATTTTTACTGCACGAAGATCCGGTCTATAATTATAATATAAAAATATAATTAGACTCAAATGACTCAAGGCAAAAATTTTTATTGTGTATACGCCTAACGATAATCTTTTGAGCACATGATTGAAAGTATTTAAAATAAATAAAAGTGTAAAAAAAACATCTATGGTAATATAAAGTGGACAGAGTAGAAAGCTGTAAAAAAAACCAAAAAAATCTTAATTTTTTCCTATGACCTCAATCAAAAACAGAAATAAACCAGAAGAATATGATTTTTTAGATATTTACTTATACACTTATAAATGAAATTATTTTTAAAATAAGAATTAAATTAAAAATAAGATAAAATGCAGAGTGAACCAACACTTTATAAATTTAAATACATACAATAAAAATTATATATTTAAATTTTATGTTCAACATTTATTGATTTTAAAATATTTAAATATAATTCCATCTTGATTTAGTCTTAAAAGCTTTTTTCCAATTTTTAATATCAAGGTTGCCATAGGAAGTAATGTGTGCCATGTGCCATAAATTCAAGGCTCAGAAAAGATTTATGAAAAGAACAAAACGACTAATCTTTTAAAGTAAAATGGTGAAGTTCATTGTCAATGGTTCAATGATCAAGCGTATAATTACTCATATTTTCTTTATTTCTTATAAATCCTAGTCACTCTCCCATTTCCAGATCACCTCTACCCACATAAATCACCATACAGGAAAGTCTACAGTAAGTGACAAGGTAGATGTCTGAAGTCATTTACGAGGGAGGAAGTTTGATCTTTCCTTCTGCTTAACGTCTCAGTCTAAGGTCCCTAATCAATGTTTGCCTATAATATAGAATTTTTCTCCCCAAAATTTATAGAAATATAAGAGTCAATCAAGACAATTTAATATTCTCTCAAAATTAATCAAAATAAATGTTCGGCTATTTTCTCAATAATGGCTAAGTTTGTTACAAAATAATTTTAAATTGTTGTTGCACATAAAGTGGCAAGAGTAACACAAGAGAAAACAGGAAACAAGTACCTATTTCGCCAAGAATTATGGATAGACTCTGAAGTCTGAGTCTTGGACTTCAGTTGTGAACCGCAGTAAAATCAAATAAACGCCCCATCCAAAGGAGTTTTTATTTTATACTGAGAACATGAGCTTTAAGCTAATATATGAGACAAATATCTTCTAAATAGGCATAACAGGAACTATTCCAACTCAGCCAAAGATATACCTTAAATATAATTTGTACTATGCATTATGAATAAAAAAATTAGTTATAGGTATAACAAATAAATGTTCGAGCTAAGGTCATTTGAGGAAATTATATAAATTTACATATAAAAATCCTATTATTGAATAGTAATATGTATAAAATATTAAAGTAATAACATGATACATGCTTAAAAAGTGGGTTTTTAAGCCTTCTTAAATTGAACTACTATTGGTTATTATGAAAGGATTTTATAATTCACCTACTATAACTGATCAAATGTTTATTCTCAAATTCAACAGAAAAATCCATAAATAAAATATAAATCAATGAATAAGGATGAAACCTTTCAGGATTTATTGCAATAAAGAATTATTGTAAAAATATAAAAATGGGTTTTAAAAATATAACTATATATAATTATAAAATAATACATCACATTAAAAAAAATAATAATAAATACATTTTATTTTTGTGTAAAAAATTTATAAATATAAATCAATAAAATTTGAACCACATAATCTTTCAACCGTCAGTAAAATATTACAATACCTAACTGCATGTGAAAAAAAAAATAATTTAAATGAAATATAATATAATATGAATAAAGTAATAAAAAGAAAATAGTGTACAATTTCAAATAAATATTTGAAAGCTTACAGTTCATAATGAAATAATTCATAATTCATAATGAAATACTAACAGAAACAAGATCCAAAATCCCACTGTCCGTTATAAATAGCCAACTTGATATAAAATAAAACAAAATTTCATTTTCATACAAAGAATAATTACTCTTATATAAGTAGTTAGTTCTATGAACTTGTAAATAGGTTATACTATAATGATTATAATTCTGTAATGGTGGAGGGAGGCATAATAGCTTCAGTGCATTAACGGTCTATTATGTACAGAAATATTTCATTATAATTATTCTTAAACCATAAAGTGGGAAGAGAGTTAGTAAGAGAGGGAGATAAATACACTAGTCAATACTTTGGGAATCCTTGGTTTCCCTACCACTGTCACTTCAATCAACTACTGTTACTTTCTTTTAATGCTCACTGGAGTTTTAATGTTAATCACAATGACAGAGGTTCAGGCAGATAAACAATGCTGGTCTCTGGAAGCAACTAAGGCTGAATGTCTAAGTGAGTAAACTGGAATTTTAATATAATGTACCTTCCAGTTTTCAACTCTTAAGATTGTTTAAGAGACACATTGGTAGAACCACAAGAGACAAATGAAATATATGGAAATAGCAACATCAAACAGAACAAGAAGGGATGGTTACAGTTGGTACAGAGTAAAAACCGAAATAACAAGTGATGAAGTTGAAAATTAATTTTTTAAAATATATTTATATCCATACCCATAGTTTAAACACATCAATGTAAAATCTTGTTGAATTTTTACTTGTCTGATATTTATATCATTTTTGTGTCAGTTCAATCTAAAATATATTGCAGAGAGAAAAGAAGTTACATGAACGTTGCTTTTGAAATTCATTTGTGGTCCGGCCCCGTATACATAAAAAATCATTAGATAAAATGATGACAATTTCAAGAAAGCATTTTCTTGAAATTTGTCATTATGCTCTTATTAAGCACTTAAGATATTCTTTTTAACATGCACCGGACAATGGGTTTGGATCTTATATTAATATTACCTAACACTACCAGCGTCTGAATTTGGGTCAAACTAAAATACCTAGCATATAAACAAAATTTCCCAAAGTAATACCGCTTTGAAACTAACAAAAAGGTATATCAGAAAAAGTATTTATTCTATTCCACACTAATACAATCTTCAATAATTTAAGACAGTCATACAGTCTTCAAAACAGTTATCCTGTTACTAAGCGGCCTGTGAGTAACATATAAACATGCTTTATAATATTTTTCAACCATGATCATATGAATAGACAGGCTGCCTAACTACTAGTAACATAGGACATAAGACAGTGATGAAATTTTGTCCAGCTTGTTCTAGCATCCCAAACGCCGAACTGTTAACTGTGAAATAAAGATATATATATAAATAATTTAAAAATAACAAAAATGGCCCTGAAAATGTTATTTATCGCAGTGTTTTTTACTCTACTATTTGAACCAAAACATGTAGGTAACAAATAGTTCATTTTTTTCAATTAGTTAAATTTGTACAACAAACAAAAAACAACGAAACAATAAAATAAAATAAAATTCTTACACTTCTCTGGTAACTGCACTAGAAATAGTTTCTTATGCTCTTTAGGCTTTGTTATATGGGGAGGAATGTAAGGATACTGCGGTGGTTCAAAGTTGGGCCTCCACCAATTACCAATCGTATCTTCAATGATCCATTCTTGTTTTACACCATCCTCTCGTCCCAAAATCTGTAAGTATAATCAATTAACTGAGTATTTTACATCAGATAGTCTAGTAATCTTAATCTATAACTTAGTACTAGTTGAAAATAATATCTTTAGTAATTAATTATAGCATTATGAAAAATTTCAAGAAACTTTTTTCTAGAAATTGTCAAGTTTTGTTAATTTCTCTCAAAGTATGGTATTGTACAAACTGAAGAAAAGAGGTTCGCCAAAAACATAGCAATATTGATTGAACTAATTATTTAAGTAATTATTATATTGAAAAGCATTTAGAAGTGTGGAAAAACCAGTCCTGTTCACTCCTAATGGTCCCAGCCAAAGGTACTAGAAGCAAGGTTCCAGTCCTACTAACTGTAAGCTTAGGAATGAAAATTCCGTTTATTTTTTATTCACCCTTGTAATATCAAATATATACATATATACAGTTTGTTTCAAACACTTGAAAATGATATTCAACACTTAATGAACCATTCTAGTCAGCAGGCATAGAAAACACTCCATCGATCACTGATACTAAGTAACACTTAGTTCTTAGACCAAAACTCATGAAAATTTGAGCAAGCAAAAAAAGCAAAAACATTAGAGCAATTCATGGGCCAAACGAGTACTGGCCCAGATAGAGATAAATGAAACTAGGAATTATCATTTAACTCAATATTAATTGTTATTTTGGTGGCTTAACTATTTATTTAGTTTTTTTAAAATCAGATATGAATTTTACCAGAAGTACCTGAGAATTGTATTTAAAACTAATATTGAAAAAAATGCAATTTCAGGCTGAAAATCTTTAAAATGTACTAATTCATGCAGTAATTCCAAAAGGTGTAATTTCATGCAAAATACAACAATTTTCAATATAATGTCCACTTCATGTTTCAAATATCTGTCTTGATTTAGTTGAATTTATAGCTAGCTCAAAAATTAAGCAATTGCATGAAAATTCAGTCTATAACCATAATAGTGAATTTTGGACAATTATTATGGTTAGGATTTCCTGATCTTGTGGAAGCAATGAATATCAATATGTTTTGAACCAGATTGAGCAAACCTCATAAATTTTGGATTTCAGAAAAAACCTTTAGAAAGTGTTTATCAAACTTCAGACAAATTTTTAAATGTAAATCTTACATTTCTGCTAATTTAGGTTCACTGCAACTACTTTTTCTTAACTACTTGGGTAGTTTGAAGACGGTAACTACATTATCTCAATGTCAGGAGTTGATAGAAGCCTGTAAATATTGTTAACCAAGTACTTCAGTAGTTTAAAGCCCACAACTTTTTCTCAACCCAAGTAATTGGAAAAACAGTAGTAACAGCGAGTTTAATTAGTAGTGTTAATTGTAGAAACAAATACAATTACTATACAACATATCGTCCACCACTAAGTTTCTGCAAACTTTTATTTTTTTTTTATTTTTTTTTTTTTAATGGATTGATAAATTATATCAAATATATTTGCACACTGCTGAAAAAGTGTATTTAATAAATCAAACAAAGAAATAAATCATGACATAATAACTTCCATAATAATAATTAGTCAAATTTTATTTCATATTTTCAATGAAACAATCTTAAATAAATTATTTTTATTTTTCTAAATAATTATTTATAATTTCAAACATTCATTGAAACAAAGCAATGCAATACTGAAATAATTATTTGATAGTTTCTCTCACTACCACCTTATTTAAAAAAAATATTGAATAATTAATATATTGAAATTATTTATTGCACAAAAATAAAAAATATTTTTTTTAGAAATAAAACTATTTCTGATTAACGTTTAAAATACATAGATTCTGAAAATATAATTATAAGTTATATTATAATATTAAGCACCCAATCACAGTGATCATCCACCCCAATCATCAAGACCTAGTTGACCCAAGGATCAGAGATAGAAGATATCTACTAGCTGCCACATTGACTTTTCTTACACTACCATTTTATTTGTTACAACTTGCAATACAACAGACTCAAGACTTTGTACAGGCTGAGTGTGCCCAACCACCATTTCCTTTATTCTTTCCCCATCATTTTGTTTTTTATGTGAATTGAGAGAATTTAATGGCTGAATATGCCTGACTGCTATTTTGTTTATGCCAGCAGTAAATTTTTATAAGATTTGAGGGACTTAGAGTTTTACAGGGACTAATTGAGCCTAATTTAAACTTCACAGAACTGTTAAGCTCCTTACATACTCCGTGGCTCTACAGCCCTTGTAGGACCTTGGCCTCCACAACAACGCCTCTCCAATCCTCCCTATCAGCGGCTTCTCCATTGTCCAATTCCCATCTTCTGCAAATTGTCCTCCGCATCATCAATCCATCTAAGTCTGGGCCTTCCTCTCCTTCTTTTGCCTCCTGGTTTACCATATAATAGTCTTTTTAGGTATCTATCTTCACCCATCCTTTTAAGTGTCCAAGCCATATTATACAGCTTGATTTAACATTTGTGACTAAGTTTAGTTCTTAGAGTTCTCTATTATTTCTTATCTTCCATTGGCCATTTATACATATTGGCCCAAAGATTTGTCGAAGGACCTACTTTTTCCAGATCTGGACGATCTCGCATTCCTGTGTCAGGACCCACGTTTCACCTGCATAAGTGACAATTGGTCTCAAAATAGTTTTATAAACCAGTATTTTGTCTTCCATAACATGTTTCGAAAATGCAATGTTTTCTGTAATATAAAAAGACATCTGTTGCCTGCTTCGATTCTAGCTTTAATTTCTACTGTGACGTCATTTTTGCCCGTCACTAAGGCACCAAGATATCTGCAACTGCCAGCTTTCTTAAAAGTGTGGTGGAGCAGTTGCATGCTATCCTGTTCCTCACTTTTTGAGAATATCATATATTGGGGCTATTCCTTATTTATTTTGAGAACTAATTTTTTTCTAGCATCTCCAAACTCCTGTAAAGCTCCTGGTAGTGCGGCTTTAGATCTTGACGATATTATGACGTCATCAGCATATGCCTAGTATTGGGTAAGTAAACTTTAGATTGTTCCTCCTGGATTTGTCTTAATTGCTCTGGCCGCTTGCTCCATTGCAATATTAAATAATACAAAGGAAAGAGGATCTCTTTGGTGTAAACCATTCTCTATTTCACTTTCACTATTCTTCCGAAAGTGTTCTGTATGTTCACCTTGCATCTGCTTTTTTCAAGGGTCATAGCACTCAATCCTACTAGTTTTTCTGGAACTCCAAGAGCCTTCATTACTTTAAGCAGTTCATTCCTATTGAGGCTATCATATGCTTGCTGAAAATCGATGAAGAGGTGACTGGGATCAATATTATATTCATATGTCTTCTCCAGCATTTGTCGAATAGAGAAGATGTAATCTATTGTACTTCTTTCTGGTTGAAAGCCACTTTGGTATTCATCAATATTTCTCTCTGTCCATTCCATAATTCTCCTGTTTATGGCAACTGAGAGAACCTTGTAGACAGTAGACAGGAGGGCGATACCTCAATAGTTTTGGCAGGTTAACTAGACTCCCTTCCAGCCTTCAAAATCTTCCTGAAGTTTTTCCAGCTTTTTAGTTTCATACAGCCGTTTCTTTGGTTTGCATATGGTATTATTATGGTAACAAAGCAGCTAATTCTAGGAAAGCAGCTTTTTATCATCCAATACTTTAGGCAAGTTCTATTCCAAGAATATATCTCACTTGAGTTTACTTCTTCCTTTTGTAATGAATACGATTTTTCCTTCACACAGAGTGCCTTCCATATATTTTTCTATTTTGAATAGTGAATTTAATTTTAACAATAAAGTAAAATAAATATTAACACACTCACTTATATAATTGTTTTTATAAATCATCTAAGTTAGCATAAAACGGCAATTTAAAGCAACAAAAATCAAAATCGTGCAATTTAAGCGAAAATGTGCAATATAAAATTTAAATATGTTATTCTGCAGGTTCTGAAATGGATCCGGAGTTTTTACATGCAAGCGAATAAAAAGTGCAATAACATGGAAATCCGGTCTTTAGTTATAACTGTCTCAAGTGTGAAATGATCTTAAACAGTAAATAATGAAAGTAAACAAAACAAGAGAACATGAATTAGATTTCCTAGAAAGAGCCTGGTGAGAATTAGGCGTCATTGAGAATAGCCTCGAAATCTTACTTCTTTTTCTTAAATTCTCAAGAACTAAAAATCAACCAATTCCAAGGGACTTGTACTTCTATAGTGTAAATCACTTGAGATTCTTTAAGCAGAATTGACTCTTTGATTCACTTCTATCTCTACAATTAGCCTCAACAATGTCACAATTAAGTTTCTCAAACATCATTAAATATAAAGCCTTAAGACTTTTCAGTCACAGAAAATCCAAATGGTGGGCAGCTTCATTAGGTGATTACCTGAATCTTCTAAGGGTAAATAAATAAGATAAAATTATTATCTATTTCAACTTTTGCAATTATTATTCTGTATATGTTAATCCTTTTCTACCAATTCTAAATGCTCTGTTGGAATCTAAATCCATTACAAGGATCTCCAAACTTTGAGACCTCCAGAAAGTCCTGCGAACCGCATTGAGATCTCCACTAAGTCCTACGGGGCATGGCTTGTGATGAAAAAAAAAAGAATCTTGTTCTATTAATGACACTTTAGTTGTGAAATGAGCTTTCTAAGAGAAACAACTCATGTAATAAATGTTGTAGTAACCTCCTGTTTGAGGAATTTGCTAAATTACATCTTGTTTTAAAATTTAACCATGTAATTAAAGAATTTTTCACAGGCCGAATTGAAGGCGCTTGCTTAAGATCTGTCGCTCGGACCATAGTTTGGAGACTCCTGTATTACAATATTAATCATCAATAACTTTAGTTGTGGCTCTTTAACTAAAACTACTTGTTAGATTCGCTGTCATTTCCTACAGTAGTTGTAGTTGTGAGCTTTAACTACTTGAAAGATAGAAGTTGTTATAGATGAAAGTACTGTAGTGGTGGTTTTGTAATTTGTAGTTTAATTACATTTCATCCAACACTGGTCAATATAATTATATAAATATATATATGCTTGTTTTAAGGTCCCCTAACTTACCTCAGTTAAAAGTCTTTTAAGACCCTCAACTTCGTCTTCACCTGCATTAAGTTCACCTCCAGGAAGCTTGAAGAAAGTAGTACCAAGATGCAATAAAAAAATATGAGGTATGCCATGTTTATGTGTAAGAAGAACACCATCAACACTTCGCCTGATCCCAATCTTATCAAATTCTTCACGCATTCGTTGAAACCTGGCAGGTACTGATGGGTCTTTTTCAAATAATGGCTCTTTTGTGAGAAAAGTATAATTAGTTAGAGGATACCTGGAAAAGTTATACATAAAGGTCTTTCAGATAGTGCATATGATTTATTTTTTTTAAGTAAACAATAATATAATATAACATTTATATATAAAAATAATTTCCAGATTTCATGTCATCCTGAGACTAAAAACGAAAATAAAATCTTATTATCTTTTAAAATAATTTTATTTATATAAAAGTTTCTATAGAAAATAGAAATAGAAAAATAACTTTATTCTGTCCCCTAAGAATAACAAAAGGTTACAGAGCAAAAGAAATACTTCTGAGCAGAATTAAATTAAATAAAAACCTTATGAAACTATACAAAACCGAAATGAAGAAACTATATACAAAATACCTATAACTAAACATAATACAAATAAAAAATGAAACAAAATAATCTCGGCTTAACTGAAAAATAAATAAAAAGGATTAAAAAAAAAAATAGGAAGAAAAACAAAAATCAAAAATAAGTTCCTCTTATAAATGAACACTGAGCAAAAATAAATAAAGTAGAGTAAAATATAATGAAATAAACATTTATGTATTACATCTTAGTACACATTAAATAATTTATTAAAAAAAAATAAGAAAACAAATAAATTAAGCAGCTTTATGTGCTAAACATTCTTGAAGAACAATGACAAAAAAAAATATACATGAATATATATAAAGAAAGCATCAATTTTTAAACAAGGCACTGAAACTTAACTCAACTTAATAGGTGGTTGGCCATTGTAAAAAGGTATTAGAATAGGAGGGTTTTAAAGGTGGATAAGGAAGGGGCATGAGGGATTTTAATAGTGAGGGAATTCCAGAAGTTAGCAGAGCGGGCAATGAAGGAGTTTTGAAAAGAGGCCGATCTGAGACAAGGGTTATAAAGGTCAGAAGGTTGGGATCATGTGATAAGAGAGTTGACAGGGGACTTAAATTGGAGATCATATGCATAGGAGGGGGAACAGCGGTTGATAATCTTTTTATTTTTTATGTCCTCCCATTGCTCGCCTTTAAGGCTAAACGGAGTTTTCCCAGGCCAGGGGGATTATAAGACTCATCTATAATGTCTGCATCGTTAAATGAAGATAAAATTAAAAAGAAAAGAACACTTTTAAATTGAAAAATTTAACATTTTTATAAAAATTTGATTCATTCATAACCTTTTTCACACTACTGTACCTTACCTACTAAATTTGAGTTAACGCCTATTAACTCAAATTTTAAGGGAATATGAAATCCATTCAATTACACACATCGTGAATAATAGTAGTTAAGTTTTAGCATATATAATTTTAAGAATATTATTAATACAGATACAGACACTTAAATTGGAGATCATATGTATAGGAGGAGGAGACAGCTGTTGATAATTTTTTTTTTTTTTTTTTTTTTTTTTTTTTTTTTTTTTTTTTTTTTTTTTTGTCCTAGCCTTCCTTGCCTTTAAGGCTAAATGGAGTTTTCCAGGGCCAGGGGTGAGGATGGGGATTTAAAAGACTCATCTATAACGTCTGCATCGTTAAATCAAGATAAAATTAAAAAGAAAAGAATATTTTAAATAAAAAAATTTTTCATTTTTATAAAAATTTGATTCATTCATAAGCTTTTTCACACTACTGTACCTTACTAAATATTGAGCGAACGACTATTAACTCAAATTTTAAGGGAATATGAAATCCATTCAATTACACACATCTTGAATAATAGTAGTTAAGTTTTAGCATATATAATTTTAAGAATATTATTAATACAGATACAGGAAGTAGAATGAAAATAATTGGTGCCAAATGCAAACATGGATCATCATTTCATGCATAACTTAAGTAACTTGGTAGCAAGTACTTCATAAAATATAAAGAAATACAACGTTTGAATTTTTGGGTCAATCACATAACCAAATGTTTTAAAAATTATGTTAATGGAAGTCAGATTTAAAATAATTACAGCAATTTTATCATGCAAAGAAGGTAATAAATAATTCACCAAGGAATACATACTACACTTTCTGTCAAGAAGAAAACATATATTACATTCTACTCTAATCTTAAAAATGACAATCAATAAAGAAAAGAAAATGAATAAGGGTAAAACATATGAACCAGAGATAACTAAATTTATTGTATGGGACAATTTACTGGTTAAATTGCATTAAGTAAAAACTTAAATATATTCTTTTAAAATGTAATAATTTAAAAGAACAACACATACCTAGACTGACAAAAATAAATTACATGTAACTAACTACTCATCTCATAAATTATAATTTACTGCATTATAAAAAGTAAAATAATTCATCGAGATTAAATATATTTAAAAAATCAAGTACAGAAAGCAATGATGGACATCAATCATATGCAAATTAATGTATTATTTATAACTTATAACAATACAATTATAATTAAGAGCAGAAACTGAGTTTTGTAAAATACAGCTAACATATCTGAACACTCAAATAGCAACAAGTAGACTTACAATTTAATAAAACGATTAAGAGTAATTGAGGTGCTCAAAGATAATTTATTAGTTGGTAGAGTAGAATTTTGGTCATTGGAATTAGTAGAACTTGTTCTCCTAGGCCAACCATGGCCGCTACCGGCAGCCGTCGTAGTTTTTATAGCAGAAGTCATGGTTCAAATTTAAATGTTCTTTCAAAAGATTACAAATTATGGTTAAAAAACCGCACTAAAGACAAAACAACAGTGAGAAACTATAAAAGACAAAGCACAACGAAAATATTCAAGCAAGATTAACAACCCCAACACTTTGAATCACAAGTGCCGACCAGATTTATCTGTGATATCAGTAAAATAACAAACAACACAAATTATGGTTATCATGGTCATCCATTACTTATTAATAAATTAAAGACATTTCAAATATCATAAGAATTGGTATAATTAAAAATATAACTTGGTTAACAAATACCGGAACTATTCTGAAACTAACAAAGAGCAATATGTTCAATACATAAAAGAAACGAAGATTTTTAAGAAACGGACTCAAGGACCATGGAATCGATATATTTTTTAAGTGAAAATTTCTTTAAACGCGTTTTGTACTTTTTTATAGAGAGTGAATTAGATTGATCCGTCAGATTTACGAAGTTTTAACTCTCGGGTAAAGTCGGATAGAGTCCACTAATTTAAATGTTTTTATTTGGATTAAAATATCTCAGGCACTAAAAACTGGGCCCTCATACTGTAAGCGAGGAAATTGTTCAGCATTCTATCCTCTCTGTAACAGGCTATAATTCAAAATTGTATCTTAGTGCGACGCCGTGTTAGGGAGATGAAAAAGAAAAAATAGTGTCGAAAACCAAATAATATGGTTAGTTGAACATATGGATTAAAATATTTCAGAGACTAAAAATCGTACCTGTATAGTGTAAGCGAGGGAAATGTTCATCATTCCATCTTCTTTGAACTATTATTTATAATTTATATTTCATATCATTGATCTCGCCTTGTTGATGTTTTCATAAATAACGTGTGGTCCAAAGCACACACCTTAGTTGTTTTTTTTTATTAACGTTTACTACCTTTTTCTCGCCTCCTTTAACTGGGAAACTTACGTTGTACTTCCGATCCCATTTCAAAAGTCTGCAAGAGGCGTACTTTTCATCATTGGCTGAGAAAACGCGTTCTTGTAGTAGATGAAGAGGGGGCGGAATGGTCGAGCGGGTAAATTTCAATTCGCCTCAAATGGTGACGGAACAATAGCGGCTCTACGGGGGGAGAAGTGAGTAGACTTTCTGTTCTAGGTGTGAGCTATCTTTATTCCGCGCTTCAATCCTGTCCCTACATTGTCAATATTTCATTCCATACTGCCTTACACTAGTTTCCTATCTAGAAGTTCGGCACACTCACTGCTCTATTCCAGATTCTTCAAATTAGTTTTTTATCCACTTTCTGAAAATGACTGATGCCCGTCTTTGATATGAGGTCATCAATTGTTTCTTTAGCTAAAAAAGGTATTTTGTGTAAGGTCTTACGAGAAAAAAAGAGTTTCAAATGAGAACTCTATCAACTCTTGAACTCAGTGAGCTTTTGATCACTTCCATTTCTAATTTATTCTCCTCCATGTTGAACCATAATGTCAGGGGTATTGGAAGCTGAGAGCAACCTTTCCTATTGATTGTTAAGATCAATTTTTAAGGTTTTTTTTTTTTATACTTGCATATTTGTATTGTGCATCATGTTTGATATTATTATTTGAAATTGATATTATAGTTAAGGGAGGCCTGGGTAACCAGCAGACTACCTTCCGCCAATAGATAAAAATAATTTAAAAGGTGTTTTTGTATAACCTTTTGGAATAAAATAGTGTTGCCTGTTGAAATAAAGAGTTTGAAACTTAATTTAATACATCAAATTTCTCAACTTTGAAAAACATACTGTTATAATTCTTGAACAGATGGGCTCCTAATCTTCTATTTTAGCGATTTTCTTCATATGATCCTAATTTCTTCTTGGGTTTCAAATTCCTGGTGACAATCCTGAATAGTTAAGCACATGGTACTTGTTTAGACGAACTTTGCAGTCTTTTATCCCCATTTCACAAATTTTCAAGATGTCTACTCTTAATGTATCCATTTCCTTCACCACTTTAACCTCTTTGCCAGGTAGAATTTTGATATTCCACGTCCAAAGTGTAATATCCAATCGAGCAGCGTGTTGACTGAGTAAAATAAGGTTTAGACAGGATAAATACAAGTCCATCTAATTTAATTTGAACCAGCTGTTCTCTCCTAAGGTTGATTGAGAAAATATGAGAGACCTGAATCCTCGAGACAAATGACCTCTGGAAGAGAGAGTGGGTGGCTTATGCCCCCTGGCATTGCGTTTTCCTCGCCTTGATTCTGTAAGGAAAATGGACGATGTGGTCGCCACCAGCATTTCGAACATATTTTTTTTATTAGTTCCCTTTTGCCCGTCAGATTTTTCTCCCTCAGAACGAACTTAAAAATCTATTCCGACCAAATTTTGGAGGGGGCTTTCGGGCTGAAGGCCTAGTGTTGTAAAAACAAG